ACCACACAGAGCAACACAACACACAGTGCAACACAACACACAGAGCAACACAACACACAGATCAATTCAATTCAATTCAGTTTATTTATAAAGCACCTAATCACAACAAAGTTGTCTCAGGGACTTTACAGGAACATTCACATAAAAGCCAGTTAGTAAAGTTCTCTAAGGAACAACACACAGAGCAACAATGTAACTATGACCTGCTCTCTCTGAGCAGCAGGCGGTGATCTTTATCTGTCACACGCACACGCACACACACGTGTTCATGTGTCTGTGTGTTTTCAGGGTCTGGACCCCCGTTGGTACATTGGTAAAGTGACCCGCGGTCAGGCTGAGGCATGTCTGAAACGAGTCAACAAGGTGACCAGAACCAGAAACAAGCTGGGACCAGTTTTCACTCACAGCTTTTCCATTTTCTGTCATTAAAACATTTTCCCATGGTTGTCCAGTAGAACCAGTATGGTCCAGTAAAACCTGTGTGATCCAGTAGAACCAGTACGGTCCAGTAGAACCTGTGTGATCCAGTAGAACCTGTATGGACCAGTAGAACCTGTATAGATCAGTAGAACCTGTATGAGTCAGTAGAACCTGTATAGACCAGTAGAACCTGTATGGGCCAGTAGAACCAATATGGTCTAGTAGAACCTGTGTGATCCAGTAGACCCTGTATAGACCAGTAGAACCTGTATGGGCCAGTAGAACCAGTATGGTTCAGTAGAACCTGTGTGGTCCAGTAGAACTTGTATGGACCGGTAGAACCAGTATGGTCCTGTAGAACCTGTGTAGACCAGTAGAGCCTGTGTGGTCCAGTAGAACCTGTACGGACCAGTAGAACCAGTATGGTCCAGTAGAACCTGTGTGAACCAGTAGAACCTGTGTGGTCTAATAGAACCTGTGTGGACCAGTAGAACCTGTATGGTCCAGTAGAACCACTATGGTCCAGTAGAACCTCTATGGACCAGTAGATTGACCTGTCTCTGAGCAGTCCGGTTCTGTCTCCAGGACGGAGCATACCTGGTGAGGGACAGCACCCGGCAGCAGGACAACCAGCCGTTCACCCTGATGGTTCTGTACCAGGACAAGGTCTACAACATCCAGGTCCGGCAGCAAAACCAGCAGTACCAGCTGGGAACTGGACTCAAGTCTCAGGAGGTAAACATAAACAAACTCAGGTTCTGATCCAGTCCTGGTTCCTGTCCTCATGGTTCCAGAGGTTCTGATCCAGTCCTGGTTCCTGTCCTCATGGTTCCAGAGGTTCTGATCCAGTTCTTGTCTTCCAGTGTTTCCCGTCCGTCAGTGACATCATCAGCCATTACTCTCAGTCCGCTCTGGTTCTGATTGATGCCAAGAACCGCAGCTGCAGCCAGCAAAACCAGTGCCTGCTGTCTGACCCGGCCGGGTACTGCATGAAGAGTCAGACCTGGTCCTGACGGGCCTGACCCGGTCTAACCCAGCTCCATGTCAGCTCTTCGTCTGCCTGGTCCTAAAAATCTTTAGCTATTTGTTCGGAAACATTTTCATTTTTTTACAGAAACTTTGTGTTCAGAAGAAGCTTCCAGCTAAAGTTTAGCCACAAACTGTATGTGTTTTAATAAATCATCTGAAACATCAGCCGAAGTCGGCTTCTCGTTTTAACTTTAGCTGATTCATCACAAAACACCAAAACGACAGAAACGGGACTTTAACTCGTAAAACCAGCTGACAACTCGACCAGCTGAAAGATGGTGAGTCTCTCAGGTTAGCAGAACAGAAGATAAATGTAGCACAATTATAGCTAAAAGGTAAAAGTAGCAGAATGCTACTGAAATTTTAGAAAAACATCAGCTAAAATGAGCTAAAGGCTTGAAACAGCCACGAGTAAGAGAAAAATAAAACCAAAAAAAAAGTATTTCTTTATATAAAATATCAACATACAGTCAGTCAGTCGTACAGTCAGTCGTACAGTCAGTCATACAGTCCGTCATACAGTCAGTCGTACAGTCAGTTGTACAGTCAGTTGTACAGTCAGTTGTATAGTCAGTCAGTCAGTCATACAGTCAGTCGTACAGTCAGTCAGTCATACAGTCAGTCAGTCAGTCGTACAGTCAGACATACAGTCAGTCGTACAGTCAGACATACAGTCAGACATACAGCCAGTCAGTCCTACAGTCGGACATACAGTCAGTCAGTCGTACAGTCAGTCGTACAGTCAGTCGTACAGTCAGTCATACAGTCCGTCATACAGTCAGTTGTACAGTCATACAGTCAGTCATACAATCAGACATACAGTCAGTAAGTCGTACAGTAAGTCAGTCAGTCGTACAGTCAGTCAGTCATGCAATCAGTCGTAAAGTCCGTCAGTCTTAGTAAGTCAGTCATACAGTCATTCAGTCAAACAGTCAGTCATTAAGTTATACAGTTAGTCAGTCAGTCAGTCAAACAGTCAGTCTTACAGTCAGTCAGTCATGCAATCAGTCGTAAAGTCCGTTAGTCAAAGTAAGTCAGTCATACAGTCATACAGTCATTCAGTCGTACAGTCAGTCATTAAGTCATACAGTTAGTCAGTCAGTTGTAAGGTCAGTCAGTCATTCATTAAGTCATACAGTTAGTCAGTCAGCCTTCCAGTCAGTCAGTCATGCAATCAGTCATAAAGTCTGTCAGTCATAGTAAGTCAGTCAATAAGTCATACAGTTAGTCAGTCATTTTTACAGTCAGTCAGTCAGGCAATCAGTCGTAAAGTCTGTCAGTCATAGTAAGTCAGTCATACAGTCATTCAGTCATACAGTTAGTCAGTCAGTCGTACAGTCAGTCAGTCATGCAATCAGTCATAAAGTCTGTCAGTCATACAGTTAGTCAGTCAGTTGTACAGTCAGTCAGTCATTAAGCCATACAGTTAGTCAGTCAGTCATACAGTCATTCAGTCATACAGTCCGTCGTTAAGTCATACAGTTAGTCAGTCAGTCATACAG